TCTAGGTAACAGTGAGAAATTTTCTGATGTATTTTTTTTCTTTCTCAAACATAACTTTTTTAGTTAATATACTAAGAGTTTTAAGATAGATTTGTACAGTTTCCACCAGGATGATTATTGATGTACAATTATTTCTCAATGTATTTTTGGATTAAATAAGGGTGTTACTCCAAAACATCACCACTAATTTTGAATTTCTAAAATAACACAATTTCAATAGTAAATGATTCAAGAGTTTTTGGTAGAACTACACATGGGTGGGATATATTGCGAGTGGCCATTAAATTAGATATATTGGATATACTGACTTATATTTTTAAAAATTGGAAGGTAATTTTGCGAAAGACAATAATTAATACATTATTGTAAAGATAATTACGAAAATAATATAGTTTGCATTCAAAAGACAAACACAACTTAAAAGAAACCAAATTAATTAGGAGAAGTAAAAAACGGGTGAAAATAATACACTTCCCAAGAACAAAGTGGTGGGCAAAGAGCATGTGCGACCTCGGTATAAATGCCTTAGTTTCCGCATCTCGTATAATATGCACCGTTTAGGGCATTAGTACGTGGACGTTATAACAAAATTCCAAATTTGCCTATGGAGTATACTACATCAAGATCATAAGGTGAAATTTTGTTTAATACTAATAGCTAGGTGGAACATTTAGAGATACGTGTATTTTAACTACAAATGATGATGAACATTAAAGATGAATATGAAGTTTATATTCTCAATCATATACAAACTAAATGTTAGCTGGTATGGGAAATCTAAAACAAAACAAAAAAAGAGGAAAAGATGACTATGAAAAAGTGAAATTTGCTAGAAAATTTCCCTTATCACACAGTAGGGTATAGTCCACCGATTTAAATCTTGTATGAAACATGTATTTTTTTTTAATTAGAAATCTGATAATTTTCTCTCTCTTTTTTTCCATCATTAATGAAGACACTCTTAAGAGTGTCTAAAAACTAAAAATGATTAAAAAAATTATTTAATTAGTTGAACCTTTCATTAAAAAGTTCTATGAGTTGAACTAATGAAACTTTTTATTTAAGGTGTCAAAACATTTTTAATACTATTAAAAATGATGGTTTGAATTGTTTAGACCAAAAACAAAAAACTGAGCTAGCTTGCGGATTCTTCGTAATGCTATATACAATTGTTGACCAAAAACAAAAAACTGAAAAAGGTTATCATTAGATATTTTTTTGTTTATCTTCCAAAATGTTTGTTTGATGTTTGTATGACTTTTCAAACCTAATAGAATCAAATAGTTTTGTCAATTTTATGTGGTGGTTAGGAGTTTCTACAATTTTAAGTATCTCTACGATTCAAGCTCCGATCCATGACAATGGATATATATAAAAAAGAAAATCATGAAGCTAAATATTATTTTTATTTTTTTCATGAAGCTAAATAACACAATTAAGCTTCACTTGAATGATTTGTTCCGTTCAATTTGGGTTATTTATCTAGATTTAAAACGTATATATATTCTTTTTTAACCTAAGACATAAGTTGCACTTAGAAGTTTTTTAAAACACAGGGAGATTGACTATAAATCATGATCTTAATTAGGCTGTTTAAACTTTCATGATCTTTCTTTAATTCAAGTCAAAGGGATCTTGTAAAAGTCAAATCCAACGGCTGAGATCGAAGGAATACTGTGGCGCGTGAGAGAGACATCTAAACCAAATATCTTCAACCGTTGGGTTCGGTAAAGCGTCATCGCACGTTTCAAAGTCAATTCCACTTTTCAACGTTTACAAGTTACCACCTCTAACTTTTTAGGTTTTCATTTATTGTCGACAAAGTTTTAACTATTTTCAGTTTTGTCCAAGACTCTTACACAATTAATGGTTTGGTTTGATTGGTTTCTAGTATCTAAGTATAGAGAAATTGGTCGAGATATAACGAGGAAGCAAGGTTAAAGC